TTTTGGTTAAGTTTTAGTAGGAATTAGCGTGTTTTTGGAAGAAGACCAAGAATAAGGAAGAAAAAAGACAACATGAAGAAATGGCGTGAAAAAGAGAAAATTTGAAGCAATTTTTACTATTGTTATCACGCTCCATCGTGGCATGATACTAAATAAAAGGCGTTCTTCTCCTCTAACACTAAGATGAGTAAAATGGATTTAATTGTCTTCAACATAGGTATCAAGTAAACTCTTACTCTAGATAAGTACTTGGGGTTTCCTATGTTTTATGGTCGTCTTCAATGTAAAGACTTTGAGCTTCTAAAGGAGAAAATCAACTAGAGGTTAACATCTTGGCAACATAAATTATTAAACAAGGTTGTTCATTTGTTTCTGGTAAGGTTTGTCCTGAACTCCATCTCAAATTATTATATGCAAATGGCTTGGCTACCTTAGCCAACTTGTGAATTTATTGATAGGATGGCTAGTAATTTTTTGTGGAAAGGTAATTCTAACTCCAGTGTCCATCTTGTTAGTTGGAATAAAATCGCTAAGCCCAAAAAGCTAGGTGGTATTGGGATCTGAAAAGTAAGAGAGGCTAAGACTTTTACGTTGGATAATCTAGTTTGAGGTCTCCATCGAGACTGTGATTTTTTATGGGTCCAAGTTTTGAGACATAAGTACATCAGTAAGGAAACGTTCCTTAATATGAAAAGAACCTGAGATCATTTGCTTGGAATGCAATTACAAAATCTCTCTTTGCTCTTAAAGATGACTTTCAATTTAAATTAGGGGATGTGAACTCATCTTTCTGGTTTTCAAATTGGTATGGGGTCAGGAAATTAGCGGAGCAGGTTCTCTTTGTGAATATCCATGACCTGGAAATACGAGTGAATGATATTTGCTTAGATGAGAATTGGAACTTCAATTCACTATATATTAATATTCCTTCAGTTGTTTGTGACCGCCTAAAAGCGCTTACCATTTATTTGAATTCTCTAGTACTTGGTCGATTAACATGAAAAGGAAATTTATATGGTATCTATGTTGCTCGGGATGGTTATAACTAGCTCAACAAACTTGAATTTGTTCAGAATATAATAGACAATAACTCTTGGAGGTAGGTGTGGCATATTACTACTCTTGAGAAGGTGAAATTCTTCTTTTGGACGACTTTACATAATTCCGTTTCTACGAGATCGATGATGTGTCATCGTGGTATGCTTTAGACGAATCTTTGTCCTAGATGCAACAAGATGATGAGACGACTCTACATTAATTGAGAGACTATGAATTTGCTACTCGCTTTGAATAACTATTGGCTTATTGGATCCCTTACTCTTCCAAATGGATAGTTTATATTATTGGATTATACATGACATCAATGACAACTCTATCTTTTTGCCTGCTTGTTAGTGGTTGTGGCGCGCTAGAAACAAACTATGTCTTATGAATGAAATGGTATCTTCCTATACCTTGAAACTCATCACAATGAATTATGCTAATCTGTTAGCTAATTATTTTCCTAAACATAATCAGTCTCATCCAACAAGAACGATTAAGTGGAATGCACACAAAGGTAGTGATATGATTTTGAATGTTGATGGCAGTAGCCTTGGTAATCTGAGCGTCTTGAATTTTGGTGGATTGATTCGAAATGTTGATGGTGGGGATTGATTCGAAATGTTGATGGTGTTTGAGTTTACTGTTTTCTAGGTAATATTGATTATTACAACATTCTTCGTATTGAGATGATGACGATATATCATGGATTGTAGATGATATGTGAACTTGACATCTAAGACTTGATGTGTTATTTTGACTTCAACTCTACTATCAAGTTTATCTCAGAGTCTGTTAATATTTGACATCACTATGTCGGGATTCTTCACAACATTAAAGAGTGTCTCTCTAAATAATGATGAGTTCAACTATTTCATATTCTTAGAGAGGGGAATGTTTGTGCTGATTATTTTATAAAGCATATAACTAATAATGATACGGTATACCCGTTTTTTACGGAGCTTTTATGTTAAAATCATCACTCTCATATTAACTATTAGCGGATGCTATTGAGACTTTTTCTAAATATCCAACATAAGTTAACAACTAAATAACCATTAATATATTAACATCCTAAAAAAACATAAACTATATGTTAATTTTTAATTTTGATTTGAAGATTAATAACCCTACTCAAACTTAGAAACTAATTTAAAACAGCATGACTATGGTGGCTGCTTCGCTTGCATTGGTCAAACTGTCTCAATCGGTTCCAATGAGTAGTGACAAACAACGGTTACTTGCTTCTCTAGTGGACCCTGCTTTTTCATTTTCCCTTCATTTCTCATCCCATTTTTAATTCTACTATGAACCTTTCTTCTTCCATCAAATTAAAATTCTTCATGCAATAACTATAACTGCATCCATCATCCACAAGAAAACCCCACAACACATCAAGGTACTACTCAAACCCTTCATTTTCTATAATACAATTCAAACCAAGGAAATTTCAATTCAAATTTCAAACTTTTACCAAGTCAATTTTCAAATTAATATTTCCTGAAAAGTCCATTTTCAATTTCTTAGCCCTCCTTAACTACCAATGTTTTTCTTTCTATTTTCTTTATTTCACTTTTCGCAACTTCCAACCTTTGTTTCTTTACTCAAAAATAAGGTTCGTATACTTTTATTTTGAATAATAATAATAATAATAATACACACTGAATTTAATATAATATAAAAAGCATGATTATAGAGAGATTAATATTTGTTAATAATAATTAATAGAATATAGTAATGAATGCATTATGTAACAGTTTTTGACTTTTTGTGATGATTACTTTATACTTGACAATTTTTTAAAATTTCTGTAACTCTGGCATCATTTGGCCGTTGCTGGAAACAGATCTCCGTTTTCAAAATTGATGATTATGATGATGAAGATATAGTAACTGAAAATTTTTCAAGTTATTGAACGGGTTGCTTTATTTGTTGTTCTATGCAGTTTTCAATTTTCATTGGAAAAATACTTATCGACTTCAACATCATCGGCGTAGTTTTCGTCACGGATTCTTAGTTTCAGGTAAGGAATCGCTTTTGTAATACCCTTTCATAAGGTTTGTTCTGTTAAAGACTGTTTCTTTGTTTTGTTTTTGTTGCTCTTTATCTGTTTGTAGAAATACCCAAATGTAACAAATAATTTTTTTTTTGCTAGTTTATATGTGATTTGTGATTTTCTGCATTTTGGGGTTTTGATTTGGGAGTTTATATCTGTGTAGTACCTTGATTTTGTGCTTTTAGCTTAGGAGTAGATTGATGGAATATAAATTGATTGGTACGTATGAATAATAAAACAGTGTCTGAAAAACTACTCTCTAAAGTAGGATATTCATGATAAAAAGGATTCCCTGTTCCACTTCAATTTTGTTCCTTCCCTTTTGATTGTAAAGTAATATTTGTATAGCTTTTGGATGTTCATGTTCCAATTGATTTTTCCCCCGAAATGAAACAGTAGTTAGCGGCTGCATAACTAGGTGGCAGTGTTATTATGCTCTTTCTTCTTCTGGAACACTTCACAAATTCTGTTTTAATACTTGCCTTTCCCCCTCTCTTTTTTTTTTTTGATTAATATTCTGCAACTTTTTCTCTTGATGAACATGTTTTTAATAATTGAACTTTAGGTTTAATCTAATTACTTTCCAAACACTTTCTAATGGTCCAGAGTAGTTATTTGATGGCTGCAGCTTCATGTTACTGTATTTTCTTGTTATATTGTAAGATCATATGATTAGTTAAATTCGCATTACTAGATATTAGAAGAGGAAATTGTAAAAAGAAGATTCTTTACCCATGAAGCCTTACTGTTTTGATAATTAACTTGGATGTAGCTTGTGGAAAGGTTAAATTTTAAGTCCCACAGTGGATGAACTTACCGCATGAACTTTTAGGCTTTTAGCAACCGCTACTCATCATTGGTTATAAAGCAATCTCCAATTGTTGTTGTTTAACCACATTCTCTATTTGATACTCAAGTGATTAGGGTTAAATATGTTTTCATTCTCGGTGTTTTATGATACATGAGTCGAATTGAGAGACATACATGCATTAAAGACAGAGACTGACAACACTAAAAATTACATATGGAAATTATTAGAATAGATATTGTATCTAGGCTGGTATGTAAACAAACTGGCATCTTCCGTCACCAAGGTTGGTGACCTGCTGTAACCAGTCACCTTGTTACTCTATAATTAACAAGGTGACTTATAGAGTAACAAGGTGACTCTAACAGAAATGTTATGCGATGAAATGTGTGGAATGAACTAGCAGTACTAATGTATGAGTTATTTCCGGCAACTTTTAAAAATATGTGGCGCTAGTTTAACTCTGCTGTGACTGTTAACAGTGCGTTATTAATATTTCTGACCCATCTCTTATTTTGAAATGAATAATGAGTGTTCTCATTCTTTTATGCCAAATATTTGATGTACTAATTATAGCAAGGGAAATCCTTCTAATTAAAAATCTATATACGTTTGTAATAGAACACTTTTTCTGGTGAGGGAGGGTAGACTTCCCTAAAGTCATTATTTTCTAGCTAAACAAATGAAACCCAAATGATGCACTTATTTCCATTTTTTTGTTTGTTTTGAAAAGCTTGGTATCCAGTCTTGCACTTATTTCCATTTAGTTGTTTACATGGCCGAGTTTATTAATTTAGAATAAGGATCTTGAATATGGTAAAAAAAAAGAGAGAACTATTGAACTCTGAATTGAGGATTTAATGTCTTTTGTAAACTGTTTGACACTTTCTTGAAACCTTACTCTCTCTCTAGCATATCTATATATTATTTATAACATTTTCCTGTTTATTTTCACATTTGGTTAGGTAAAAACAAGTTTAGGTGGGGTGTGTGTTGCCATTGCTGCTCCTCTTACTCCTCTATATAATATAGTTTGATCCTCTGTGCTTTTTACATCTCTTATGGTGGCTGGAAGGTAGACATGCATTTGGAGTGATGGTGATTATGGCTCAACCATTGAAAACAATAATTTCATCCTATCGTGACCAAGACAAGAATTCTCGTCTTTCTCCTCGTCTTTCTCCTTTGTCTCCTTGTAGGCATGGGAGCCGTCAGTGGCGCCAGATTCGTACTGGTAGTTTGGCTGTTGCTATAGCGGCACTTCTCATGTTTACCACTGCTTGGCTTTCCCTTGTTTTCTCTGATGCAACTACCTGTTGCTTTCATCGCATAAAGGACTGGGAAGATAGACACCACTTTTTACCTTGGAACAAGTGCCCTCCTCTTCGCCATTCAAAAGTAATACCACCTCCTGCTCTCCAATTTGGGACAACAAAAGATCAACTTCACAATAGTAGCAGTATTATTGAACAAGGAGGCTTGTCTGTTCAACATATTGTTTTTGGCATAGCAGGATCATCTCAACTTTGGAAACGAAGGAAGGAATATATCAGACTATGGTGGCGTCCCAATGAGATGCGTGGCCATGTGTGGTTAGAGGAACAAGTGGTTGAAGAACATGGAGATGAGTTATTACCCCCTACCATGATTTCTGGAGACATCTCCTATTTCCGCTACACTAACCCTATAGGTCACCCTTCTGGCCTCCGGATTTCTCGCATTATCAAAGAAAGCTTTCGCCTTGGTCTCTCAGATGTGCATTGGTTTGTCCTCTGTGATGATGATACCATATTCAATGTGAATAACCTAGTTGACGTTCTCAGCAAGTATAATTCCTCGGAAATGATTTACATAGGTAGTCCTTCAGAGAGTCATTCGGCTAATACCTATTTTAGCCACTCAATGGCCTACGGTGGTGCTGGGATCGCAATAAGTTATCCGCTTGCAAAGGCCCTCTATGAGATTCTTGATGAATGCATTGAGAGATACCCTGGGCTTTATGGTAGTGATGATAGACTGCATGCCTGCATCACTGAACTTGGCATTCCACTGACCCGGGAGCATGGTTTTCACCAGGTACTTTGTTGATATCCATCCTTTTGGGCTTAGGCCCCTTTTATTTCATTTTGAAAAAAAGATAATTTTCTTTCTATTTTCAGAGGAAACAAATATTTGCTAGATGTATTACATGATTTTAATGCAGCCATTTCATCACTTAGAACTTGTAATTGAAAGTTGATCAGCACCACTTTTTCTTTTAATCTTTCAGTGGGATATAAAAGGTGATGCTCACGGTCTTCTGTCCTCTCACCCAATAGCACCATTTGTGTCAATTCATCATGTTGAAGCCGTCGATCCCTTTTATCCTGGTTTGAGCTCTTTGGATAGCCTTAAACTTTTTACAAAGGCCATGAGAGCTGAACCCAAAAGCTTCTTGCAGCGATCAATATGTTATGACCATTCCCGGCATCTAACATTTTCAGTGTCACTTGGTTATGCTATTGAAGTCCTGCCTAACATTGTATATCCCCGTGAGCTGGAACGCTCTGAACGAACCTATTCTGCTTGGAATGGTATTAGTCAAAGGAATGAATTTGATTTTGATGCTAGGGACCCACACAAATCTGTGTGTAAAAAGCCCATTAGATTCTTCTTGAAAGATACTGGAAGAGATGTTAATGCTTCTTGGGGTTCATATGTTCGGAGTAAAGATAAAGATGATTTCAAAAGGAAACTTTTCTGTTTTCCTCAATTTCCCCCTCTGTACAATGTGCAAAAGATCGAAGTAGTGGCACAGCCTTTGAGCAAGAATTGGCATCTGGTATGTTTCATAGCTCTTGAACATTTTTTTTTAATGTGTTATTACCAGTTTTCAATCATGCTGACATTTCTAGATTCAACTGTTTGGTTATTCTAGGTGCCACGTCGTCTCTGTTGCAAGCAAAGCAAATCTGGCAAGGACATACTCCAAATCTCAGTTGGACAATGTGGGAACTGGGAAGGGGCCTTTTAGCTCTGGTACTGATTGTGTAGGTCAGTTATGAAATAGCATGTTAGGATTACTCTCACGTTTTTCACATGATTCGGCCTTTTGAGTGGAGAGCTAGTTCCATGCGGCATTCTTTTTCACCTTGAATTGATCCTTTTTGAACTTATAATTTCTCTGTAGAAAAAGGTTTCTAACACCAAGATGTGAGTATTCAATTTTTTCCATATATCTTCTCAGTTTCTCCTTTATAATTTTTTTTTTCACAATTTAGAACAATTTACTAGGGATTGGAATAGGATTGGAATATGCTATAGAAGTTAAACAAGGTTCTAATATGCCTTCTGTAAAGTCGCAATAAAAGTACATATAGTTTTTTTTGTGAACAGTTATATATTTGTGATATCTAACTAACACTAAAAATTACATTAAAAATCATCTCTACTGATTGGTGCAATCAGTGGGTTTAAAGGAGACCGTCTTTTTGTCTAAATCAAATCCAATTAAAATGTTTGATTGAGCAAAATTGCCAAATATATAGTCTCCATCAGTCGTGCCTGCCATTGCTAAGCAAAATATCCCATCTTTCGGTGGAATGAAGGTTTGTAT